CTATTCTATTCTATTCTATTCTATTCTATTCTATTCTATTCTATTCTATTCTATTCTATTCTATTCTACTACTTCGGATGCCTCAAATTCTTGCTGATGCAATTGAGAATTTTTTTAATTATGCGATGAAATGGTTGAATTGCTTCAAACATGCAAAGATGCTTCACGAAAACGAAATAATGAACCTGTCAAAGGTTGGACTGTGACAGGTGATCGGCTCAAAAGATGATCAGTCTCAGGCTTTGACTAGAAACACAGTTTCTCATGAGTAATTTTGCTCGTCATGACGTCGACATAATCGCGATTGTGAAGAGCCGATACGCAAACGCTGATGTCTCGACCTGTACGAGTCTGAGCTGATGCCATTAACTGCCTCTTTGAGGGCCGATTGCACGAAAATCCGGCCAAGTGTGGATTGCAGTCGAGGCGAAGCGATAAGACCGATGGTCATGTCACTTAATCCGTCGTCAAAGCGCAACTGCAACTGACTGGAAAGCTGTACTGTCATCGGGAAATCCGTCGGTGAGGTGGGCATTTTAGGTCATGGCCACACCGAGTGACAGTTTGCACACATGCACCGCAGTAGACAACGCATACTAGCATACACGACAGTCTATTCTCACTATGAAAGGTTTGTGGAGCTGTGAACAAGTTCCTAAGGACCGAGGAAATGTGGCGAAAAAGGTGATTTCTCGAGGCAACAGCGAACAATGACAAACGCCGATTGGTAGCTGAATTGTCCCACAATCATATGATTAGACTTTAGGTTTTCATTGAATTTCGCATAGCCTTGCTTCCCAAAAGGTAATCCCACAACGGCCGGACTAAATTGTGGCTTAGGACTCGTGACGGGGCTCGAACCATGACAGGTCAGTGCATTAATTTTGTTTGCTGGCCCTACTTACAAGCGACAAATAGGTAATGTAGCAGGTTGCTAGTGGCAATCTTAAAATAGAATGTGATTGGAAAAGTGTGTGGACTTTCTGGAAATTCACATCTGCCCTGAGGCAGTTTCATGGTTCGAGTTCGGCTGTAGGCACGATCGAAATTGCAGTCCACTTTGGCCTGAATAAGAATATCTTTTAGGAAAGCAAAACTATATGAAACTAATTGAAATTATGCGGTCAGATCATCCAATTATGGGCACAAAATATGCTGAAAACACTTGTCTAGCTCACAAAAGGTGGACTTTTCGCAAAGTCACATGAGTTTGAGTCTGGAACTAATCACATTTCACTTTAATATCCACCGGATAGAATGGCTATCAAAACCGAGTTGTGGTAGCGCAGTGTGCATTTCAATGCAATCCAGGCCTTTCCAAGTGGTACAGTAAATAAGATAAATCTCAATTCGCTGTTACATCCGACCATACTACTCACAATGGTGGTGAGTAGTTTTTGAAATGACAACTATTTCTTGTCACCTAATTTGACCTAGGTTGAATGCAGCTCATATTGAGTTTGACTCTGTAACTAATCACATTTCACTTTAATATCTACCGGATTGAATGGCTATCAAAACCGAGTTGTGGTAGCGCAGTCTGCGTTTCAATGCAATCCAGGCCTTTCCAAGTGTTACAGTAAATAAGATAGATGTCTATTCGCTGTTACATCCGACCATACTACTTAAAATGGTGGTGAGTAGTTTTTGAAATTACAACTATTACTTGTCACCTAATTTGGCCTAGGGTAAATACAGCCCATACTGAAGGAGTACTGTAAGTTATAGAAGAAGACGGGATACCTGAGAAATAAGGCTGAGGATGATCAAAAAAGACCTGGAGCAATATGAAATAAATGTAAATTGAGACTGGCCTGGAGGAGAGCCACACAGTGGAGCAAAACTGCAAATTGCTTGGCTGTTTCGGCATGTTTTATGGTTGCCAATAAACGAAATAGAATGAAAGCTTGTGAGAAAGGAGGCATCATATACATCTCCCATGGAAAAGGTGCCCAAAGAGACGGAGGAATGGGTGAATGGAGAAAGGAGGGACAATTGGCTGTCTCGTCGCCTGGAAAAGGGAACATTTGAGCCTACCACATGAATGGGCATTTTCACCAACCGGTCAACATGTCGACCATGCACACGGCAATGCTTATGTGTATGTGTCTGTGTGTGTATGTGTGTGTGTGCATGTGTCCTCATGCCTCAGGTCGGGTTGGTTGTCCTTTGTATGTAGTCACTCTTCGGTACCAAATAGCCTAGACAAGACATAAACAGGTGATTAAATGACGACCTGAGGCTGGTCGAGTCGCAAAAGTGGCCGGTTTGTGGTAGTCACAGTTGGGTTGTGGACATGCAGTGAAGTGCCGGAGTAGCGAATTGGTACAAATCGGGGGTGTGTTCGTCTGCCCCGGTACATTCGAGAGGAAAATTAGCCTCAACCTCGCAGAATCCGCTGACCGGGCCTGG